GACACTCTTGCTTGACACTCTGCTAGACACTCTTGCTGGACACTCTTTGCTAGACACTCTTGCTGGACACTCTTGCTGGGCAGAACACTCTGCTAGACACTCTTGCTGAACACTCTTGAAATGACATTCTGCTAGACACTCCCCTGCCTGTCTCAATATCCTTGTCACTCTCGTCTGAATCTGGATGTTCTTTTGCATGCTTCACCACTGCAGCGGCATCCTCATCCACAATCCTTTTCTTCTTCTCCTTCAATGTGTCGGCTGAAACAGTGGGAACTGGTTGAGGTGTAGGTGGTTGCATAGGTCTTGAATCCACCTTTGTTCGAACTCCTCGCTTCAAATCCCACGGTCCAACTTTGGCGTTCAACAGCAAATATCCATCCCAGAAATCACCTGTCTTTCTTACTGCTTTGCTTCTGATGACTTCGTCGGTGTCAACCAGGATTAGATCATGGTCCACGCTGTCTTTGCCAAGCCAACACCCTTTTCGCCATTGGGACTTGTAATTCTTCTGTAATGGATCAAGGCCCCAAATCATCTCTCCAAGACAACAGACTTTGCCACGGTATGGCCTTCCTCTCAAGCTCACATGCGCTGTAAGGCCTGTTGCTGAAGAAACATGGTAATGGTTCAACAACCATGCTGCGTGCGTCATGCTCCAACTCTGCATGACTCTGTCCTCCTCTATTGGAATCCTTGCTCGATCCTCCACGTGCGCCAGTAGTGTCTTGGCTTGCGCTCTCACCAACTGAATCATCCTCTCAGCCAAGCTTGTCCTGGACTTCTCATAGAAGCGCCCTGGCGTCAAAGTGGTCTCCAATCCTTGGTTGGCTCTAATCTGCTGAGCCATCCGTGCACCTGCTGCAAGCACGGGTTCATTGTCGTAGGCCAACTCAACACGTTCCATGTAGCCTAACGTGGAACCAAGGAAATGAGCCATCAACTCTCCCAGAACTCCGGCATTCTTGCTCTTGACCGGCACGACATGCACGAACTTGGACCAAACATCAACCATCAGCAAAAGTGACAATGAAGCTGTATTGAAGAACATGTCGACTTGCACCGTTGGGTATGTTCTCAGTGCTGCATCTGATCCCTCTGTTGGATGCTTGTAGTCAGCTTTTGCTTTGCCCATGACACAGAAACTTTGCCTTTGTTGCCCTTACCGTTGGGATAGAAAGGAATCTGCCACCACTTGCCTTTGCCTTTGCTCTTGCTCTTGCCTTTTCCTTTTCCTTTGTCTTCAATGCGGTCGATCTCCATGGGTGCGGGACCGCCTGCATCTGTTCTGATCATGCCTCCTTCTGTCTTCACCGTCAGGCTACGAAGAATGGATTCTTGATTCCATGTCTTTGAGGCTTGTTCATGAGACAACATGGTTGCTTTGAGATTCTGATAGCTGCTGCTTTCAGTGATCGTCAAAGTCAAGTGTTCACGCAACTTGCTCTCTGCACAACGAATCAATGTTGCAATCTTCAACTCCTGATGAGGATATGTTGTGGAACCCAATGTCTCAAACTCTTGCACCAGCCGTTCATACTGCACAATGCATTCCAACACACTCTTGTCCTTTGGGAATGCTGGATAACTTGCCAACGCTTGCGCCACTGCCAAGGATATGCTCCTCGTCGAAGGCAAAAACTCTTGGCGCAACAGTTTCCACAACTTGAATCCATCCTGCGTCGACTTCTCTGCCTGCACCATGTTGAGGCATTTTCCTCTCATGTAGCTAGTCAGAATGGAAAACAACTTGATGCTCAATGCTTGTTCATCTGTGCTGTAATCTGACATGCTCGGCACCGTATCAAGCTGTTCAACCTTCTCCAACAATGCTTTGAACTTTGGCTCCACGAAATTCAACCAGGATGTAAAAACAAACTTCCAAGTCATGAAGCTGTGCGGATCCGAACCATTGTAGGGCTCGGGATCGCGCAGGATCTTCCAAGCTGCTTGAAGTCCAGCCTGCATGCTGCTGCTCGAACTCGAACTTGCTCCACCTGATCCACCAGCCAAAGAAGCCAATGCTGTTTCTGCTGCGGTTGCTGCTTTTGTTGCTGCTTCTGTCATTGCAGCCATCTTCAAGAACATCTCCTGATCCATTGCCATGCCACAATGCAACCAACTTGCAAACAACAATGCTCTTGACTTCCTCGGCCCAAGTGGCTCATCAACCAAGCTGCTATCAAGCTGATCGTCCATGCAATCCAGCTCCTTGTCACGGTCATCTCCTGCCATAGCCTTTGCAAGAAATCTTCCGCAAGCTCTTGAACTGTACCTGCATCAGGAACCTGTTGTAACAACTTGTCAACTTGTTGGAACAATGCTTGAACCGTTTTGTTCATCAACTGCAATGCACCAAACTCTTGAGTAGAACCTTCCCAGTCCGTCTTGCACTTGTCTTCAAATGTCAAGCACATTCTCTCCTCATCCAACATGTACACCGCCATGTTGCTCCCTTTTCGCCTATGTCCCCTATCAAGCTCTTCACTCATGGATTGGTTCATCAACCGTCCAGTGTACCTGTTTGCCACCAGATCGACTGTTTTGTCTTCGGCCTCATCCCAGCTGTTCAACATGCCAACTGAGTTCAACCAACCTGCAATGCCGTTCAACACACCATCAACATTGCTCAATGCACTGATCACGCTCAAGCCACCAATGCACAATGCTTCAATGCTCAACCGACCAACATTGCTCAATGCTGTTGCTCCAAACCACAATGCACAACTGTCAAGGTCATAGTTCACCTCATGCTCATGCTCCAGGGTCAAATTCAAGCAAGCACTTCCTTGACCATCCTGCTCAACATCAAGGGCCTCAAACCCTTGCTTCGAACCGTCAGTGTCCTCCTCGATGCCAGCCTCGAACTGCCAACCCTGGGCCTCAAACCCATCAACCTGCTCCAGCGAAGTGAAGATCGAATTGCTCTGTCCTGGTGAGCCAACGGTCTTGATCTTTTCGTTGTGGCCACCCTCCTTCAGGACATAGGAGGCGCCATTCCACCCGAAGTGCTCACATGGCCAATGAATGGCCATCACCAGCCAAGCCATGGCTGCGCGCCCCGGTAGCATCATCGCCCTGGGATCTGCTCCGCTACCATCACAAAAGCGGCTACGCGCCCTTTTCCTTCACTTCGAGCCACTTGTAACGGGTTACATCTAAGGTGTCGTGAGCATGTACTCAAACTTGACAGCATCTTAATCGCAGAAACCCAGGATACCATGTTCTCAATCTCCCATGCATCGTTCTAAGTTCAAATCCTGGTCGAAACGTTATGTTCAAATTCAAATTATACTCTATATATATACACCAGTGTGATTTTGCAGCTTTTCTTCCTAGCTGTGTTTGTTGATCACACAAACTCTGCGAGGCGAACAAGAGTCTATTGCCAGGTCACACAAAAGGCCTAGTCCGCCATCACTGCGGAAAAGTTCCACGCAGCCGGGTGCCGGGCTGGCCTGGAACTTGCAAAGAAGAAAGAAACGACAACACAAAACCCATCAATTATCACAGCGTCGGTATATGCATATGCCATTAGGTCCACGTTGGTATCCAATCATGGGGACTTCATGGCTGCCGTATCTTTCCAGAGGTCACCACCTGATAATCCATTCTTGTTAAGGGCTCTTTCCCTCCATCCGACGGACGTCAAGAACCGAAACGGACAAGTTGCTTGCCAAAGGAAAAATGTAGCCTTCCCTGTTGCACGCACTCTGATTGAGCTGTTTGGTTAAAAACAAATTTGACGCATGGCATAAGCTCTTCCTGGGTGACTTAAAAGCATTTATATTCTGCGGTGGTAAGATTGACAATGCGCAACTGTGACAATGAACTGTGGCCCCCCATGAGGTAAGGGTACACTTCTGAAGATCACGGCCGTCACACTTCAATAAAGACCTTAAGAGGAATGGGTTATCCATTCCAAATATTTAATGTGAGGAACAGCATGTGGGCGCCTCAGCTGCTCCAGCTGGCCAAACCCAACTTGGGCTTGGCTTGTTCCCACCATAGCCTCAAGCAAGGGCAGGAACGCCCATGCAAAGCATCTTTACTAATCAGCCTTTCCTCTGAGTTCATAAGTGTCCTTAGTTCTTTTGAAAGTCTCTGAGCTTTTTGTTACTGAAAGCATCTTGAACCCACCAAAAAAGGGGGCGTCCACTGAGTCTTGTTGTCAATTTCGCCCACCGCGCCTATGTAGACTTGGCTGTACTTCCACTTGTGGACCTTCGAGCCCTGAAGTTGGAAGTGTCTTTCACTCCATTGATGGATGCATGTATGTATATATATACTATATGTATATGTATATATGGTTGTTTGTTTTCATCTTTACACCGTATGTCGTCTCTCGAGTATGCCCGACTGTAATGCATGAAGCCACAGCTGGCCTTCACCAGATAATACTGTATTGGTTTGCTTCAAAAGGAGTTGCGGAAACAAGAGTATCTCACGTATGAAACTGCATGAATGGGCAAACATATGAATCCCGCATGCGGGTATGAAAGTAAGAGGGGCATGTCATGAAAGGTCCCAAAAGCCACATCTGTGATGCCCAGTTTGTGGGGCTATTTTAGCACGGTCTCACGACCGTTGTGGGATATACCTTGGATCTTTGGTAATCTTCACGCTACCCCTCTCTGTGCATGTGTATATATAAAGAACAAAACAACAAGTTGCCACATGACTTTACGGTTCTCAAATGAGGCAAATGACATATGCAGCACCTTTTGACATCTTTTGCAAATTGCTTTTGAATAGGCGAAGGAAAATGCAATGAAGCAAGGCACGTCAAAGCCGTCAATGCGAGCAAGCAAAAACGCAAGTTGTTCCTGTCCCTTGAGCGTCTGTGTTCTTGTCCATGCAAGGCTAAAAGGCCTGGTCCATGCAAACTCCTCGATTCTGTGAATCCCCTCTTCTTCCTGTCCTGTCCTTCCCTTTCCCTGTCCCGTTGCTTTCCCTCATTTCCCTCCTTGTTCCTGTCTCCACTTGTGCAATCTTATTGTGCCCACATCGTGCGAATATATAGAAGTGTCCTTAAACATCAAGTCCAAAACAACAACAGCAAAGCAGCGCACTCGCAGTCTTTTGCGGGTTGGTTTGATTCTTCTTGGGTTGAGTTTCTGGTGAAAGAAAAACAGGACTGGGATGGTACCCTGAAACAAAACCTGCTTTCCGCAGGTTCCAAGCACGTTCTAATTTGAACTTGAGTTGGGTCAAGTTGAGCTAAATGAGAATGGGCAGTGAGCAAACTAAAATGGAGATTGACTCTGTCCTGTCTTTTTTTTTGCCCCACCCTACAAAATGTAGATTGAATATGTATATATGTAGGTTCTTCTGTGCCCCACCTGTACAATTGTGCTCTTCTGTCCTGAGTCCTGTCCTTTCCTTTCCTTGTCCTCTCCAACATGTTCTTCAGTGTTCCTGTCGCCTGGAACTTGTTGAGGTTGAATGGGTACCTTAGCACCTTAAGCAGCAAGCAGAAGCAAAAGGTTCAGCAAGCATCTGAGTCCCCACATGTGTAAGTGCAATCTTAGTGCACACCAATACAAGCGAATCCTCCGCAATCACAGCAACGGCAACCATGCAACTACAAATGTGCCATCTCAGTGTTTCTGCGTTCTTGGGCATTTTTGAGATTGTTTTGTAATTAATAAGTGTTGCTTCTCTTTCCACCTTTCTATGATTCCCTGCGTATCTATATAAATAATATGAATATACATATGATTGTATATGTATAATATATGCAGATGTATGAAGAGTTCAAGGCAACTTCGTTGTTAATCTGTCACACTGCAGACTCTGTTGCACCCTCTCTTTGTCTGTTGGCGCCCGAGCCCAAGGGCCCTGTTGACGATCAAGTGTGAAGGGCATGTTGCTATGTATGTATATGTATATATATATGTGTGTGTGCGCGCGAAAGCAGTTACGGCAATCAACTCCAAGACGCATGTGGCTTCTTATTTTTTCTTACCTCATGGTGACCCGAAATCGAAAAGGTGTCCAAATGTTTCCAATACCTTTCAAAGGCCTTTCTATCATATACTTATATGTGTGAAAACCAGTATGAAACTGGTCCCGACCGCGACATCCAACGGCGTTTTCACGCAGGCGTAAGCGCGAGTAAGCTCAAGGGCCCTGCAAACCCAAATGGCGGCGGAATGCACCATGGACAGAACTCGGCTGTACACAAGATACCAACAACAGGGCAAATTCACGCTCAACCTGTTCTTCGAGTCTGTCCGGGATTTAATGTACATCCGCCATCTATACAGGAATTTCTACAAGTAGTTCCGTGGTGCGTTCTACGTTCAAGGTTGTGAAACTTCTCTTCTTCGGCAAATCTATGCTCTTCTACGAATCACCGTTCTGCTCGTCGTTTCTCCTTGTTCTTGTCAACTTGGTAGACGCACGATCGAAGGACCGAAAATAATAGGTCCGGCTCCATGCTCTTGGTCAAGCAATCACTCAACATCGTGTGAGCGCTGATCCAGTCAAGACGATCTCCTCCGTTCTGGAAAATGTTCCATGTCCTCTGTGGTCCTTGCCACAAGTTCTCATGAATTGCGGCCAACTCAATCCCGAGTCTCTTATCTGACACCTTGGCTAGTGCCTCTGCATCAAGGTGATCGCAAAGCGAACGGCAATCCGAAAATTGCAAATGCGGTACACAGGATCTCATAATGGATTCCCAGTCCTTGCGGCTGCGCAAACAACCCTTCGTCTCAGCGATAAGGGCACGGATATCTTGTCTCCGCTCTCTATACCGGATTGCAACGAATACGTCTCGGCTTGGAGCGTCGAACGACACACTCTCTTGATGGTCGTGGACGAAAAGCCTAATGGCAGCACATGGTTTCTCATCCTTCATCTGCTCCACATTAGCCAAAAGGTGCGCACGTCCTTGTTGCGACGTGAAGCAGAATGAAGCGTCTGTCACTGTGATGATACCAACATTGCGCCAATCGGTCGTCTTCAAATGATCTCTTGGAAATTGAAGCACGACATCTTCGAGATGCTTGTGTGCCAAATCGACTACTTTATTGCGCCCGTGCAGGAGTCCAACGGTCTCGCCGTTGATCGCTGTTTGAAGATAGCTGACGCGGTACGCCAAATCAGGACGTCCCTGTCTTGCTACCCATGCCAACGAGCCAACAACAGATCTCAACTTCGTGATCTGATCTGGGCTCAATTTGTCTGACAACTTCTGGCTGTTGTCCACTTTGATTTTCTTGATCGTTCGGGCGTTATCCTTCGTGTGGATAAACAGTGTTGCGTTCTGTTCACCAAAAGCTTTACCGCAGTAGCGGAAGTTCGTCTCCTCCAATGAACCTAGTTCATAGGAGCCTAACAACGAATCCATCACTTCCTTTGCTTCTGGCAAATAGCTATACAACAAGTCATCAACATGTGTTGTCAGCATGGCAATGCAACGGTTCTCCTCATCGAGCTTGTAAAAGAATGCTGGGTAAATAATACTGGGCGTGGGTCCAGCCTTCTTGGCATCTGACGAGAAGCGAAGCCAAAATGATCTTCCACTGTCTGTGAGTCCATACACGGGAACTTGTACCAACAGTGCGGCGTTGGGATCAACTTGAGGCAGTCCGCCTCGTGGCTGTCGCAAAAGAAGCACTCGATCCAACGGCTCTGACTGGAAGTAAGCGTTACTTACATCTGCGGAATGCAATTTGGTTCCAACAACGGAAGCCCATGCGGTAATGATCATGTGCAAATCGCTATCCCCGGTCGGAGAATCGGAGCGAATGCCTTAAGTCTGTTCAAAGTTTCCGCGCGACACTAATCGGCTCTTCCACTTCGGCTGATAATCGGGCGCGTGCTTCTTGAACTCATTCTTGTCCACGTGGACCCATTTGCTGGGGATCATGACATGTCCTTGCTGCAACAATGCGTCTTTCTCGGCTCCTTCAATCACAACAACGGCTCCGAAATGAAGGAATTTCTCCCATTCCTTTTCCATTGCTTTGCGAAGCCCTTCCTGGGTCTCTGGCGGCGCTGTCTCGAAGTCAATGCTACGAAGTACACGTTTCTCATTGTCTTCGGTGTACTGTGCCAAAGACCCAGCTGCTAGACTAGCAGTTGTCGAAGTATCTTGCTCCGCAAGCTGCGAAGCTCTTTCCAAATGTTGTCGGATCGATAGCGGCAAATCGTCCAGATTGCTTGCTACATTCGGCCACGCTGCTGGAGTCTCACTTGATGATCTTCTCGAGTCTCGAGATGGCTCTGACTCCGGCTCTCCAGTCCTTGGACGGACGGCTCTTGGCGACGGACCGGCTGCTGAGGACGCAGGCCTCCGGCGCGCTGTACCTCTTGGCGCGGCCGAACTTGGAGTCTCACCAAGATCTCCGGCGTCTTCACTGATGTCTTCTCCTTCTTCTCCTCCATCAGGAACTTCTCCAAAGATCTCAGGGCTAATCTGCCAGATGTCACTATCCTCTTCCGGAACAGGCGGAAGTCGTTCCGGTGAATATAGGTTTTTGTGCGGCAGGCTGAGGTGGCTCATCTTCAACCTCTTCATGGCCTCTCATGCGAGCATCTAGCAACGATTGTTGACTTGTCCCTTCTACAATCTCACCGGGAACAATCGGATCACCATGCAAAACGCTAAGCGCTAAGGCCTCGGACGCAGTTGCAGGTCTGACGTTTTGGGCAGCTACCAAAACAGGAGCATTACCACGAAGCAACCATAGATTCTTCTGACCTTCTTGACCTATGACTCTTGCAGGTGGTGACCATTGCGTACCTCCACGCTGATTGTCCCTACGAAACACAACTGAATCTCCTACCGGATAGGTGTGCTTGATGGTCGATGCATTTCTGAGTAGTGCCTTCTGCGCTCTCCGGGAGCAATCTAGGTGAACAAAAGCTTTCTGTGCTTCCATGCGGGCTTGGTGCTGCGATGCAAAAATGCTTGTAGGATCATACTTCGCTTCAATGGCTCCTAGCTGCGCCCATTGTTCTTCTGACACAATGCTTGGGGCCTCCCGAGGTGCTTGGTGAACATCCTCCAACTCGATTCTGCTCATTCTTCACCATACAGGCTTGAGACAAAGCGGTCTCAACCTGTTCTCTGCCTTGAATTTGGTTTTCATGGCAAATCTTGCGATACATGCCTGTGAGCAATCCTCCATGTCTCTCAACACGGCCAATCCCTTCAGGGGATTCCATTGGGTGTGAAAAACAGGAATGTTGCGCTCATCCATGTATTTCTGCAAAACTCC